GAAATATACAGTTAGAAGTGCACGCATAACTAGAATAGAGTGATTCCTAAATAAGTCATCTAATGATGCATCTTAAGGTCCCAGATAGACAAGAACAATCTAAATCTGAAACTAGCAGAAAGAAAGAAACAATGAAGAGCAGAGCAGAAATTGCTTCAGTGGAGACAAAAAAGAACACTGCGTATCATTGGATCAAAAAGTTGATTCTTTGAAAGGATGGGACTAGATCTGGAGATGGGGGAAATGGAGAAAAGGCAGATAGGAAGTAAAAACGATCAAAATATGTATGTATACCAATTTCCTCATGATGAATTTGCTTACTATGTATTGTAAACATATATTACTTTAAAGCAAAAAAAGTTTAAATAACTTGAATAACCAGGATATTGTGGCTAACAAGTAACATCAAATCCTGTATTTTTGCATTACATCTGAGTTAATGGAGTTGTTTTAAATGTGCTGTATTCTGGCAAGAGAAAAACACAGCCTCTGCTGCATCTATGAAATGGTAAAATTAAAAACCTGTTGGTACAGTTCTCTGATCGCTCTTTAACAACTGATTGCAGCATGAGTCAAAGTAAGTTTGTTACACTCAGCTTCAGAGGGAGAAGTGGGATAGCAGGTTGTATTAGCCACACTGTGGTTTATTTCACATGGCACCAATTAATTTTTGGCCTTGTTTTCATGTGTAATAGGAAAGGAAGTCAGTTATTTAAATAATTCACCAAAATACACCCACTTTTACATTTAAGTATGTCAGTGAACTGCTTTTAGAAACGGGATGTTTTTGTGTGTTTGTCTCAACTGAATTTTCAGGCATTAATGGACAAAATTTTTTTAAAAAATTATTTTATTTTAAAATGGTTGTCACTTTTCTTATAGCAAAAGTAAAACATTTTTTGACATTTTAGGTCTAAATGAAACACTATTTTTTTTTTTTTTTTTGTCTTTTTCGATTTTTATCAGTACCGGGGATCAAACTCACGACGGCCTCCTTGCAAGGCAGGCACTTATGCTGCTGAGCTAAACCCCCAGCCCCTTGAAACACTAGTATACAGGAGGGATTATAAATTCATTAAATAATTATAACATTTTACAAATCCAATTTTTTCATGTCTATAAGAACTTATCTATAATGGTAAAAATTCCTCAGATGATACAAAAACTGCAGTTAATGATATTTATTTCCCAAACTGAATTATAGACTTGATGGATCCTTCATATTCCAACCCCAGTACTCCCATCACAGTTAATACAGGCAAATTCATTTTTTCAGAGTCTTAGAACACTTGGGTGTCTTTCTCTAGAACCTTAAATCCAATCTGCCAGAAAATCATAGAGCTTTCAAAATATCCAATCATGTCTTAAGATTGTTCCTAAAAAGCCCCAGTGCAACCTACCATTCTGTTTTGCCCATAGCACTGCAAAAAGACCTGACACACTATGATCTATTTCAAACTCCTTGACAGAGCTGGTGTTCTAAAAAGCCTAAGTTCTATGATGTCAGTCCTCTTCCTAAAGCCAACTGGCCTGATTTAAAAATTACAACTCAATTGTCCTTTGCTTTGTTTCATTCCATATCCTTTCTGATTTACAGCCCCCCCCCAACTCTCTTGGCCTCTTAACATACTATATAATTTAGGTATTTCTTTTGTTTACTGTTAAACTCTTTCTGTAGGAATGTGCCTTCAGAGATAGCCCAAATTTCTGTCATTTTTGTATGCTGTTATATTTGCAGCTCCTAAAATATGTCAGGTGCATAGAAGACCCACAGCAAATATTTGTTTCCCATTGAAGAGTATTAGATATTGGGTTCCATGGGGATGAGAGAAACTAAATTCCTAAACTATTCTCTGATTCTCTTCCCTTTCTCACACTTAAAAATATCTTAGATTGTTTTCTCAGCATCTAAGCACTAATTTCAAAAGATCCTGGAGTGTTAAGCCTGTACCCAGAAGTTCCTGAGGATGAACATGATTACAATTCCAGTATATGTGCTGCTGAAGCAATGATTACAATTCTACAAGCTACCAAGTCCTGAACTGCAGTTCTTAATATTTTTCTCATCATTGTGTGGCTCTTCTTGCCTGGAAATACATGAATGCAACTGGAAGACACAGGAAGCCAATTTGACTATACATAGATAATTCTGAGGTCTCCTAACCTCTCTAGTATATCAGATTTGATTTTTCAATGTTTTTTCTTTTGAAATGTGCAACATCAGTTGACTACCCAACATGGTCTAAAACAAGAGCTCTGCATATTCATGTAATTTTTAATAGCATAAATGCTAAAATTATTCTATACAACATAATAATCCATCTTTGGCTGTTTTAAAGAAGCATAGAATTCTGACCTGCAAGGTTTTGGTTCTTTTGGTTCAGTCATCCCATTCCACAGACATAAAAACTGAAGCCTATTGATGTGCCCAGGTACTACTGAGGTGAATACTATTTTTGTTCAGGACAACTTACTCTAAAATTAAAATAAGGTGCTCTTGAGATTGCAATAAAAAGTAGTTCCCAATGTCAGAAAATTGCACATGGCAACACATTCTTTGTGTTTCTAAGTGATATGCAGCTCTACTCAGTTCATTCCATGACAATTTTAGCATTAGAAATCTAAGATAAATACAGTAAAGGATAAAATAATCGATAAATCAGAAAATAAACATCCATAAAGATCCTTTATGATCTTATGTGGATCATAAAACGGTAACAACTTGTAGGTTACTTGAAGTGAAACATTCCCATGAAATCCACATATAGAGAAGCCCTTTATGGCAGAGATGGTTTCGTATTAGCCACGGCTTCCCCTATTCTTTCAAGAATGGGAACATCTTTCATAACCAAATTTTAAAAGAAGTTTATGGGCATTTTTACTTAGCTATGTGCACCTTAGTCCTGGAATTACCGAGTCTGTATGATGGTCATCATGCCAGAAGAATGCACATGACATCTACAGTGACTAACAATGCTTCACTTTCCTTTAGTGATTGTGTCCAAGAGATGGAGACTTTTTATTTTTTATTTTTTTATTGGTACCAGGGATTGAACTCACAACTGCCTGATTGCAAGGCAGGCGCTTATGCCGCTGAGCTAAATCCCCAGCCCCAGATGGAGACATTATTATGGTGTGATGAGTTTGCTTGGTCTCCTGATGTTCTCCCCCCTTATTTTATAAATTATTTTTCTGAGAGGTGGTAGTCATCACAGTCCTAACTTCAACAACAGCTTTGTTTAGCTTTGTTATAATTCAGATATCCTGGTATTGTTCACAGTAGTTAGGTATTGTTGATAGTGGGTAGTTGGTATTAATTTTCTCGAAAAGTATATTTTGTATAAAATGTGTGATTTTAAAACTAAGATTTCTACCACTAGCAAGGTCCACAATTTTCTAAGAGTAAGTTTTTAAGTTCCTTGTTCCAGTGGCATTATCCAGTTTCTTTTCTCCATGTGCCACTTTCATGAACTCCTGATTACACAGAAGTTAGAACACGTAGGTTCTCTTCTGGTAAACCAAGTCTTGTGTCTATCTGCGTCAGTAAAACTCCTATGCAAAACTACTATATCGGTTAACACTAATTGAACATCATTTTAAACTGTTTTCTTGGCAACGCACCCCAAAAAGCTTTTCCAACTATGGTATGTAATCTTCCTTTTTAAGAAGTTACGACAATTTCTTTTATTTTCCCCTTATATTGTACACTTTGCTTAGCATAGATTTGGTCAGGACTTACACATTGAGGTTTCATATCCTGAAAACACTTTTATTTTTTGAAATTTAAGTACTTGGCAAATATCGAAGTGTTAGGACTCTTAGAGAACCAAAGACAAAATTAACAGGGACAACTACAATCCAGAGGAAATAATCAAATAAGCTACTTTAAAAAGCATAAGCAGATAGGAGAGGTAACTGCAGATACTGATAGGCAAGAAAATGATGAAAGCAAAAAAAAAAAAAAAAAAAAATGATGGGAACTAGTAAAGCTTGAAAAGACCAAGTTAAAATTAAAAGTTGAATCCTAAGAAATATTTTATATTTGACGTCGTAGGACTGGACGTGAGCATGGATAATCAGTTTTCTTTCCTAACCAGCTAAAAAGAATGTAAAAAATATAAATAAGACTTCAAATGATTTAGGATAAAGGCATCTGAAATCCTAACTGTTGTTTGAAGACTATCATTTAGCGAACTGCCTCCACAATCATCGACTGGGAGAGGACAGGATGTACACAACATCTGTAGTTCAAGATTTAAAAAATGAGGAACAGGCCAAAAATCCTCAGGAAAAATAAATAGGGCTTGTCCATAGAGACTCCAAAAAAGTTTTCAATAACAAAAACATAAGTCTTTAGATGACTGCACTTAGTAAAACAAGCGGGGGGGGGGAGAGGGTTAATTGCAGATCTTCTCACTACTCTCCAGGATTTTATGCGAGGGCAGGGTGGGGAGTGGTGTGCCAGGATGGGAGACGCAGGAGTTCCCGTGCTTCGCAAATTCTAGTCCAGTCTGGACAAAACAGCGGGCCCGTCTCAAAAAAAAAAAAAAAGTAAAAGTGAAAAAAGGGCTGGGGAGGAAGCTCAGTTGGGAAGAAGGAATGAGGTGGGGGAGCAATAGCACAAAAAAACGACAACAACAAAAAAGCGCAATCCAGGTAAGATTCCAGATCGCCCAATTCCTGCAGAGGTTTGCGACTGCCAATCTGGACCCTAGAGTTAAAAAGAAACTTGCAGCGTGGGCCATTGGCTGCTGAACCCGGCCAGGTCACTTCTGCAGGACTGGAATCCAGACCTAACCTACCTGGCCATTCCCAGAACACCTACTGTTTTAATAGTCGAGTCCCAGAATACCTACTCTTAACAGTCTCCGGCGCACTGGCTTGCCCCCGCCCCTAGCGTGGCGGAAGCAGAGCTGTCGGGAAGAAGGGAGTGCCGCCGTGCCCAGTGCGCATGCGTCCGCACCGCCAAATCCGGGAACGCCGTCTCGCTCGCTCCTGTGCGCGCTCGCGCCATCTTGTGCCTCTTGTACAGCGCCGCCCAGTCAGCTTTCCCTTCTTCCGTCCCTGCCCCGCCCGCCCCTTCCAATCGCGTCCCGGGCCCTAGCAGCGGAAGCCGCACCTCTCCGCCCCTTCCTCGTCCACGCGGGACGTGAGCTGTGCCTACAGTGTCCTTAGGCAGAGGTTGTCGGGGTGCGGGGGCGGGAACGGCGGGCCTCGCGGCGGGTCTGGGCCACGCGCGGGAGGAGATTTAGGGGTGTTCGCGACAGAGGCACCCGCCGGGGAGAAGGCTGCCTCACCGTGACCCTCGCGGAGCCCCTTTAAGCTCTTTGCCCGCTGTTTGGGTCTGTAAAATGGGCTCAGAATATACAGGCTCTGGACTGTGGCTCTTTGCACACGACGCATATTCGCCACGCCCCCTGCTTGACTTTTAAAATTTTTTATATTTTATTTTTGTGCGGTACTGGTGTTGAACCCGTGGCCTTCGCACTGAATGACATTCCCAGTTCTTGGTTTTATTTTTAAAGTTTGAGACTGTTCCTGACTAAGTTGTTTCTTGGGGGCGGGCACTCGTGATCCTGCCTCAGCCTCCCAGAATGCTTTGACTGTAGGCGTGTAATCCCATCCTCAGCTTGTAATTATTTTTGATCTATGTGTTTTAGACATCAAATCATTTTAGAGATTTAGCGAATGAATGTGAGACTTTGTTTGTTTCAATTAAAAATTAAGCCCCTGGGCCTGACAGGGTGAGAGTGAAGTTAGGGGGGTAGTCGAATGTTACGAGAGGACCCAGAGAGGATCCTGGACACAGTTATTCCTGTGCACGTGGAGTAACTACCGTGTGTCCGTGTGGTTGGCTGGAAGTTAAACCTTTAATCATGTCATTCGGGGGAAAAAAAAAAACCCCAACGTTATCTGGGAGAAGATGTCTGCAAAGACTTATTTGAAGAATAGACCGGTAGAATTTCAGGTGGATGTTCCGAAGAAGCTGAATTTGACTGTGGAACACCTTTTGATAACCTTCTGCAAAAACATTGCTCTTTATCCTGGTGTCGCAAATTTCTTATCTTGAGACATCCAGGCAAAGTGTGTGTAGTTCTACAACCGTGCTTTTATGGTGGAAATGTTCTGCATTCTGGGTGTGTCCCGGAATGGTAGCCACCAGGCACAAGTGGCTCTTGAAATGTGGCAAGTGCCGTTGAGGAACTGAATTTCTACTTTCATCAATTCCAATTTAAATGGCCATATTTGGCTAGTGGCTGCTGCGTGGAATAGCACAGGCGTACATGTTGAGAACCCTTTCACCTTTTGATTTGGTTGAGTTTTAAATTTGAGGCCAGCTCTTGGAACTTGTTTCCTTAAAAAAACCGTAATTGAAATAATGCCTTTCATTCAGATACTATACTTCAAAGCATACGTCTGTTAGTATTTATTTACAGCCTGGTAAATTAAAGCAAAGCATTCTGACTCCTGGGCTGTGCAGCGAATGTCACATTTAGCTGGAGAACCATCACAACACTTTTGAGTTTTTTTCAGTCACTATACTGTATCGTGATCAACTTTAGTTTTGAAACTTATTTGTTTGAAAGATTGTGCTTTTGTATGATAAGCAATTTGATGAGTTGTCGCAGTAACCGTTGAGCGTTGTGATAGCCCCTGTCATTCAAAATTATGCTAGTTGGGACCACATAATCATTTACTTTTAAACTTGCTGAAATTCATAATACAGACTTTTAGAGGGTTAGCCATATTGCAGTCTCAGAAATACATTTGCTTTCAAACAATGATAGTTAATTGCTTTTGTTCTTAAATAATAGATACCTGGAATGAGACTAGCAAATGGCCTGGGTACTGTGGCAAACATCTGTAATCACAGCAGAATGAGAACCTGAGCAGAGAGGACTCCAGGTTCTAGCACAGCGTGGCAATTTAGGTTCTCAAAAAGGGGTGGGGCTGCAGTGTAGCTCAGTATGAAGGCTCTGGGTTCAATGCCTGCTACATTCTAGATTGACAGGATTAATTAGTGACTTACCCTCTGAAGCCACTAATAATTTTAAAGCTTTACTTTGGATAGAAATTTTGGGTGGTTTCTTTTTGGTTCTTTTTGGGTGGAAAAAAAAAAGATCTTTTGGTGTTGGGGGCTGCAAAGAAGACCCTATCAGTCAAAGAAAGAAGGGAAGAAAGGAGGAAGGGAGGGAGCAGGAAAGGTATTGGCTACATTGTTTCATGTAACGGATAAGAGGAGTATTTTAAGTTGCATTTTAACTGGGCAGAGAGGTGCTATGACTTGCCCAAGGTTACATGATTCAGTGTCAGTCTACGTGAACTCTAGAGCCCACTACAGTTGGGCATAGGCAGATATTTCACAGCAGAATTCATTTTGACAAACACATTGTGGAGGTCTTTAAACTGTGGTGACCTTTTATTTGTATGTCCTCATGTATAGTAGAAAGAACTCTGGACCAGAAGTCAGGGGGACCTCAGTTTTGGTCCCAACTTCTATGACTAAATATGTTGTGTTCTTTGGCAGTTCAAGAAACACCTATGGACTGCAGTTTCCTCACCTGAAAATGAGGGATTTGGATGAAGTTAGTGAATGTCAGATTGTAGTCTGAAGTCTGTTTATGTGTTTTTGGTACCCCTCCTACCAATTTGCATTGTTATCGTTTTCTTTGTTATAGTTGATTATCCATCTGTCTAACACCAATGCCTTTTCTCGCTCCCTCCCTCTTTTCCTCCCTCCTTTCTTCCTTTCTTCCCTACTGAATATTGAACCCAGGGCCTTTGTATTGAGCTACATTTCAAACCATTTTAAAAAAAAAAATTGTAACAGGGTTGCTCAGGTTGCTTAAGTTGTACTGTAAGTTGCACAATAAGTTGCCTCCATCCCAAAGTGCTAGAATAACAGGTGTGTGCCACCACACATCCCAAAATTCAGTTTTTGGGTAAAAGAGTACTGAATATGGAAGCACATGGAATAGAAACGAAGGTTAATGTAAAACTGAAGAAGCATAATATATATTTGTGTGTGTGCTTGTCTGGTATTATAATATATTTCTTTTTTTTTTTTATTGACTTAGGTGTAACCGTATCCCTAGCTTACTACTGTTTGGTGTTTAACATGTAAGGTTAATGAATGAAAAACTCAAAGCACAGACGGTATTGACTTTTAAGCGGGTGCTGAAATGTTATTGCAGGAATAACGTAGTACCATTGGTAGAGGAGAATGGAGACATTTTTAAGTGGTGACGTATTTCTCTGTGGGTTAGGAAGATGCTGTCATTGGCAAGTAATCTGAGCAGAGATTTGATGTGGGGCAGAGATTTGGTATTAACAATAATTAACATACCCTAAAGTAATATTAAGTGAATGTACATGGTTACAAGAAAGGCGAGTTCTTTATAGTTGCGTAGGTAGAGAGGCTTTTTGGAGGTGATGAATATGGTCAGGCTGTTCCAGACCACTAGGGCTGTGACAGGTTGAGAGTATTGAATTGTTTCAAGATAGGCTGCAGGTGTAACTTTAGGCGTAAGGGTATGAGTGTATGCTGTGGTTTGGGATGATACTGAATGATTTAACTGCTGTGGGAAAGGGGTGGATTGGTAGAACTGATTTTCAACAGTTTAAAAACCAGGTTTTAATAAAACCTTCCAAAGTCCACTTGAAAGGGAGCCCATATTAATATTGTATATTGAAACTATCATTGATTATTCTAAAAACTAGCTGTAGAAGTTTGTAGATATTTTGGACTTTCAAATATTTTTGCATTCCTGGTGATTGAATTTTTGTATTACTTTTCATATCAGTGGAAATTTAGATTATGACATGTGGGGGACCAGTCAGACTGCTTCAAAGTTCAGGGGCACCTGAGACACCCAAGGATGAAACACTGCTTGTCTGGCAAAAGTGCACAGTAAGATAGTTATGTATTCCTGACTTAGCACAGGTAAATACACTTGTGCTGGTTATGCCACTATGCAAGAATGTAACTATGAGATAATGACTTGTTATAAGAACTATACAGTAAAGACACAGGCTGCTTTTGCACTGTTGTGCTCTGCTTTGCTCCATGCTGCCTGCTGTTGTTGCTGGTGTCTTGTACACACGTGTTCTTTAACCTTGAGACCCCACCCACAAAAATCTCCCATGGACCCCCTGAGCAGGCAGACATGTTGTAACGAGTTTTTATATAATAGTACTAAAATGCAGTGCATAGTAGTGTTGGATGAACCATAATTACTTTTCTGCCATTGGGGCTTATGAAAATGTTTTAAACCAACATTTTTTATTAATTTTGTGAAATGTGAGGTTATGAATGATTACAGTTGGAATTGGGGATGCTCAATAGATAGGTCTGAATTAGTTTTACTCAGGAGTAATACAGAAGAAGTAATAATAAATTCCATTATCTTTCAATTAATAAGCTAATAGATTTCATAGTCCAGATTTTGATATTGCTTTGAGGATGCAGAAATTAGTAAGATTTCCAATTCTTTGAGGTCTTCTAAGCTTAAAGATGTTTCTCATAGTATTTCTTCTCTGGACATTTAGTTACTCCTAATGGGATCTCTAAATGGAAATCCAGTGGTGTGTTCATTGCATTTTGCTTGGTTTACTTTTTGTGATGTATAACTTCACTATAATTAGATTTTTTTTTGGTAGCAGTATTTTTTGAAGTAATACCCTTACCTCCACTGCTTTAAATGAAAAGATAGTTAATTTTTTTCCTCCAGAATAGTATTTTGTAGATGTGACATAGTATTGGCTATTGATTTAGTCATCAAGTTTACATAGTATTAATCAGAAATGAACTTACTCCTTGAGTTCACATTTAAACTGTGGCATGTTGAAATAATCTAGGTCCCAATCTGCACATCTGAATTCATTTTGTAAAATATGGCAAACAGCTGCAGTTGAATTGAAAGCTGAAACAACTGCAGGACATTAACCCATTGAGAAGATTACAGTAGGTTTTTAGTTCCATGTTAACTGTATTTATTAGAGAAAATTGACTTGAGTGCTTCTGCTTTTAACAGACTTTTTTAATGTCTGGAAGAAAGGAACTAAAGCTTCGGAATGATAGGACTTTGATGTGCAAAGAAGTTAATGTCTAAAGAAGTTAATTATCTAAATCTTCAAAAAAAGTGGGTATGGGGAATAATTATTTTAAAGGGTCTAATGAACGATCAGCTTATAATGTCAAGAAAAATTTCTCACCTATTTGATTTAAAAATTAAATAAATTGACTGTGAAAGGATGGTCATGGTTATAATAGACTAGGATTGGGACTCTACCTTTTACCAATAAATACCCTTGATGTGAAACATTTGAGGCAGGGAGACAACTGAAAAAAAAAAAAACCTATTTCTTGTGGTGCCGGGGGTAGAACTCAGGGCCTCGTGCATGTTTAAACACTTTATCTTTGAGCTACAGCCCAGCCCAAAGCAGTTTTTAATATGAATTTGTTTTATTAAATTCTCTTCAGAAAGAACAGGCTAACTGGTTGGATGTGGTAGCCTACTTCTGTAATAATCTCAGCCCTGTGGGAGGCTGAGGCAGGAGGTAAATTGGAACCCAGCTCTGGCAATTTAAAAAGTTAGGAAGAGATCCTATCTCAAAAAAAAAAAGACTGGGATATAGCTCAGTGCAACATATCTTTAAGATTTCTTTGTCAACCTCAGGGACAGTTTCTGAGATTCTTCAGGGACCTAGACTTTTTTTTTTTAAGAGAAAAGTTTCAAAACAGGTTAGTAGGATTTGAATAACTAATACATTGCATATTGTTGTCTTGTAGTAGTTTTGGGTTTTTGAGATGGCATCTCACTTTGTAGCCCAGGCTGGCCTCAAACTCTTAGCAGGTGTCCTATCTCAGCTTCCTGAGCTGGGATTACAGGTATGTGCCACCACGCATGGCCTCTTTACTTTTTTTTTTCTTCATCATTTTGTCCTAATTCTGCTGAATTGCTGTTTAAGTCCTGGGTTTCCCATCTGTTTTCCCCCAGCCCTGGATTGGTAATACGATTTTTAAATTCAGGTAGCAACAGGTAATGTTTATTTTGATATTTGTGGGAAAAAGTAACTCAAAAGTCTTTAGGTTTCAATGAAGTGATGCTTTTAGAATTTTGGATTTCAGGTTTGAGTGGAAATTTTTCCTTTTATTTCTGTGGTGTTGGGTTTTTTGTGTAGTAATTTTGGCCTGGCTCTCAGGGCCATTTTAGGCAGTAGTTGGTAGCTATTTGATCCCTATCCTGAATGGGGCTCAACCTGCTTATCTGAACTGGTCAACTGTATCATTACTCACAAGTCTGGGCAGGCTAGAGGGATATGTTATGAAGACAAATTTGGCATCAGTGTGGACAATGAATTGAAATAAAAGAGAGCATACAGATGGGCCACATATAGAGCCACTCTAGAACTGGAGGAAACAGGAAAACAAAGGAGAATTTTGGCTTCATACAAATTACAGAGTGCAAAGGTAACTGACTATAGTGATGTCAAGTGAAAAGGGAACTTTGTAAGGGAACTACTTAATTTGTTTAATTGCATTGAGGTGTTTTAGTATTCAAGTCTTTAAAACTTTGTGTGATTGTGAAATAAAGGTGATCTAATGTGGAGGACTACCTGGATGACTCTCCTTGAAAAAAGAGCCATTATCTCCATTTTGGCTAAACTGGCGCTATTTCCATGAATAAATATGTACAGAGCTGTCTAGGGCTTTCTTATCCCTTCAGTTGGCTTTAGGCAATGCAAATTGGTCCAGCTGAGATTCTGATGTCAGTCTTTGAAGCAAGGTGACAAGTTAGTGTTACCCTGCCTCCATAACTCCTAAAAAACATGAGTAAGCAGGGTGGGATGGAGAGCCACAGGCAGGAGAGCCAAACTCTGTGCTATTGGCTGGAATCAAGCCTTGAGATAAGAGGCTATGACTTCCCAGGGCCTAAAAAGATTACACATCAGAGCTGAAACACCAACCCCAAAACATTAGGTGGCGGGGCTGGCGGCGGCACAAGAAGGGCAGAAGGGCGACCGGCGCGCCCTCCTGGTGTCTGGCGCCCTGAATGCTCTCAGCCAGACCGGCCCCGGCCGCCTAGAGGACGACCTGCAGGACTGTAGTGAAGGACACTGCTAATGTGTTTGTGAAGATCCTTCTTCAAGAAATAATTGATACATATCCAAGTGGAAAAGAGTGTGAAAAAATAGGTGTCATCTATGAAGATGTTGGTGAATCAAAAATGTGGGGGAAATTATTCAGAACCTTGAATTGTGTTATGCAGATTACTCTTTCTGCATACCCTTCTCTGTGTATTGCAGAAATGATTTCTGGCTTCCTACCTGTCTCAGCTCACAGCGCTCACATACTTCCCGCTATTCCCATAGTCATTCATCCTCAAGCCACCCCCTTCATAAGTGAATAAAACCCAGGTTGAACCCTGGATCGAGGCCTTTGTTCAGTTAACCATCACCCTAGCTAGACTTAAGACCACCTTGGCTCCCCACAACTATAGATATGCCTTAGTGTCTTTATTCTCACTAAGGGTTGCACTGGAAGTGGTAGATTGGAATGAACTCACTAGAATTCCAATAACTCTACCATAGGGTTACAAATATAAATTTCCCAGAAGGCAGCGAGATCCAGGGCCTGTGCACTTCGCTGCAAGAGCAATAGCTTTTTTTTTTTTTTTTTTAAATTTTTATGTTTAGAGCTGGGTCTCCCTGAGTTGCCCTTGGTTGGGTTTGAACTTTCCAGTTTCCTGCCTTGGCGTCCAAGAATGTATAATATATAGGCATGTACTGCTGTGATTGCAAGAAGGGGAAATTCTTAAGGATCGTGATGTTTCCATAAGTAACATTTTTGGTGTGTTTACTGTGTGCTAGGTATTGTTCTGAATTTTTATATGTGTTAACTCATTTAATTCTCACTACAACCCTCTGAGTGTTGGGACAGTTGTTCCTATTTTATAGATGAGGAAATAAGCATGGAGAAATAAACTTGCCCACAACTGTTGCAAAGTAGCAGAGCTGAAAATTGAACCAAGGCAGTCTCACACTGAATCGCAGCACTGAGACTATATCTTACTTCTATTCTGAGTTTAGGCTTATTTTACCCTTCTCAGCCACAGTAATCTAATAAAAGATGTTCTGTTTTGTTACTGTGAGTTTTGGGGTCAGCAAGAGAGCCTGGAGGCAGCTGCCCTCACCTGTACATTGTCTGGTGGGTTAAGAACTGCATGTGGGCAAGGTAATCAATGACAAGAACAGGCTCAGGACATGAGGATCTTAACTAGGTGATCAGGATCATATGGGCCTTACTTGGTCAAAAGCCTGCACCTGTGGGAAGGTGCCGATCGTTCTGTGATTATCTCCTCTTTGAGCTGTTCCTGAATCAGCTTCTTGGGCAGTGTCTCTTAAGTCAGCATAGTAAGGTTTTTCTCTACTTCTGCCTTGCCTGCTGTCTTGCCACCTGACTCAAGCGACAAACCGTAGCGTTTTGTGTGGTAACAGCTCGAGCCTGCACTGTAAATGCAGGTTGTAAATTCTTTCTACCGCTTTAACATTAGCTTTGTTTTTTAGAATCTGAAAGTATTTTTTTAGAATTTTTGTCTTACTAGGTATTGAACAAAGACCTTAACAATAAGCTATATTTCCAACTCCTTTATTCTTTGTTTTGCAATATCATCTCTCTAGGTTTGCCTAGGCTGGGCTAGAGTTTACATTCCTCCTGCCTCAACCTCTCAGAGCCCTGGGATTCTAGGCATGTGCCACTATGCCTGCTTCATATTTAAAGAGGATTATAAAACTGTGTAGTTTACATGCATGTATAAAATACTGCTTTTTGAGTACTTAATGTGTAGTTGAGGCTTTGATTTCATAATTTTATATTGTTATTTTGACTAAGTGTTGGAGATTGAACCCAGGGCCTTCGTGCTGAACTGCATTCTCAGCCCCTTTTTAAATTTTGTATTTTGAACAGAATCTTGCTAAGTTGCTCAGGTTGGGCTCAAATTTAGGATTTTTCTTGTCTTAGTCTGTCAGAGTATTGGGATTATAGTTGTGTATCAACACACCCAGCAGCTCATAACCCAGCAACTAATTCTTTTTTTTTAATTGGTACTGGGGATCGAACTCATAACCGCCTACTTGCAAGGCAGGTGCTTATGCCGCTGAGCTAAATCCCCAGCCCCCAGCAACTAATTCTTTACTAATTCTTTTTTAATGCCATAAGGGTAAAATAAAATGACATACATGAAGTTTGGCATCTAGTTTTCTCAATAAGTATCATTTTAATTTTATGAGGAAATAGGTCATATTTCAAATTGAAGGTTGTCTACTAATGAGATTATAGAATATAAAAATGCTTACTTAAGGTAGACTGATAGATTTTATTTGTATTTATTTTTTGGCTTTGGTTCAAATGGATGAGATTATGCTGTAGTTTTGTAATTTTGTGTCTTAGAGCTATAGAACTTTCTTTAAGTGAAGTCTTACTTGGAATCTTCATACATAAAATAGAAAAATAAGATTTTTTGGGGGTGTCTGGATGAAGCTGGCTATGTATGTGTGCTTAGGGGCCACTAGTAGCTAGCTCCGAAGAATCACTAATCTTAGGGACCTCTTGAACACATGATTAAGACCACTGAGGTCTGTCAAAATATTTTAAATTGATATTTTTGTTACATATGTATTGAAGAATAGGTATTGAATTATCATCCAACAGGGTATTTGTTTGCTATCTTACATGACTCAGCAACTTTTTGCCACCATAATTTCGTGCATTAAGCAAATCAGATTCATGCAGAACAGATATTATCAGCAGTAATGTATCGTTGGTTCTATTTTCTCATGCATTTATTTAAAGTACATTTTCTAAGCTTCATTTCTTATTTTTACATAGATGAATAATACTGCAGCTAGCCCAATGTCTACCTCCATTTCAAGTAGTGGAAGAAGTACAGGGAAGTCGGTCAGCTTTGTGGCAGAGTTGCAAAGTATGATGTAAGTATGCCTTTGATACTATGACTGTTGCTGTTTTAAATTTATTCACATTGAAGTAAAACAATAGGGATAGAATTTATAGACTTAGCTTGGAGGTAATTTGTATTTTATCAGATGTGAAATAATCCCTGGTAACATTTAAATAGATGTGCAAAAGAAGCAAAATTGATAAAAATGTCAGTGATGTTCTGTACCTGAAAAATGAATATTGGCTCATTCTTATAAAAGGTCAAAAGAATGATCATGTAAACACATTTGTTGATTTGCTCAAATCTGTCATGGATTGTTTATTTTATTTTATTTTTTGGTACTGGGAATTGAACTCATGACCTCACACTTGCCAGGCGGGCAGGCTCTGTGTTGCTGTGCTGTAAACTTGGCCATGGATTGTTTGTTATTGTATTTTAAACTTAGAAATTTTGAGACTGATTATATTTTTAGATTATTGAAATGTTTGCAGAGATGTTTTCAGCTTTTCTCAAATGCCTTAATTCCATGAACCTTAATTAGTTGGGAGTTTCAGTAGTATTTGAATGCATTTCAGAATGTTGAGGAAAATTTAAAAGATTGAAAAAAATACCTCTATTCAGAGGTTAACTCTTTGACCTTTGATCTATAAAAATAGCCTTGCTATAAGAAGAAAGTATAAGAAGATACTTCGTTTGTCATTTATACTTACAAGAGGTTCTTAAAGCATTTGGAGTACCTCAAACCATTAAAAAAATAAATAGGGATCACAAGATGGAGGGAGGGAATAAAAATGTATTGTGTACATGTACCAACTCCACACAATTCAAATATACTAGTAAAAGATTTAAAAAGTAAATTAATGTTCAAAAAATACTGAGGAAATAAAGCTAAATTCAGCACTTTCCTATTAAATATTTTTGCAAACATCTTCCTGACTAATATACCTAAGCTGGATTCAAAATGCAAAAGTTATTGTTGGCTATGACTCTGGAAGAAATGTACATTTTCCTTCTATTTCAGACTTCATAGTCCACTCTAGTGGTTAGTATTCATCATTTAGAGTCTGAAGTTATTTTTTTTCCCCTTGTGACTTTCTTCACAGAAAGGGAAATAGGACCAAAATTACAAAATCCCTTTTAATTTACCATTAATTTTTGTTGGTATGAGATTTTTAAGTGTTCTGTTGTATGAAATTAGAATCATTATACATTTTATCCTTGCTTATGTGCCTTCTTCAAATGGGAATGTATAGACTGAAGCTGCCAAATTTATTTTGTGCTATAGGAATTTTGTTCTGTGAATCCTTACTTAACTGCTGCTGTTTAGTTTAGTTTTGTTTTTTAATACTGGGAATGGAACTCAAGATCTTGCATTTGCCAGGCAGGATGCTGTATTCCTGGCCCAAGCGGTTCAGTTCTTGTAAGCTTATTTGTATTAGTGTTTTCCAGCCCTCTACTGCTCTGTCTTCCTATACATTCACTGTTAATGAGTTCAGTGTTATCTAAATGAGTAAGAATAGTGTCATTTCCAGGAATTGGTTTCACTTGAAAGATATACAGTTGGCAATCACAGCTGAAATTGTTATGATTTGCTATATAATATGAAACTGGCAGCCAGTCTGTTCTATTAGGGTTTTTATAGACTTTGCCATATTTTAATATGAATGATAAATACCATAGGTAAAACACTGTTTAGGAAATGAATTTATAGATTTAAAATTGAAGGTTAATAGTCATATGGTACTAGTGGGTTGGATGACAGCAGCTGCCCCTTACCTTATTACCTAGAACACACAGTGAGCACATTTGCTATATGGTCTTTATTTTAGCTCTGTGGATAATACTGGTTGGAAGGGTCCAGAAGTTTTTTAGGTTACTAAACTTCAGCAGTATATAAATTAAAAGTGAAATCTTTTTAGTCTACACTGTAGCTATTTTAACAAATTTAAGAATTACAATGCTCTCTCTCCCTCTTATTTTACCCATTTATCTATTTCTTACCTTGTCATTTTTTACTTGGTCAGATTTGTAGACCTGGTGACGATGTCAGGTTTCATAACTTGGTAGCTTAGTCGTTCTGTAACCACATTTTTAAAAAAATGTTTTTATACTATAAAATTCTTCAAAATGAAAATTTCATCTTTATGTAAAATCTACAGATTGAAAAAAATTTTTTTCTTTTTTGTGTTATGGGGGATTGAACTCAGAGGTGTTTTACCACATTCAGACCCTCTTTTATTTTTTAAGTTTTTAAATTTTGAGAAAACATCTTGCTAAGTTGCTCAGGTTGGCCTCCATTTTGTGATTCTCCTGCCTCAGTTATCTGAGCAGCTGGAATTATAGGTATGTATCACAGTGTTCTGTTGAAAAAAGTTTTTAAAATCAGTTTTCTTTGCACATAGTAAAACTTGTCTTAATTGTATAGATCTACAAGTTTTGAATTTTTAAAAATCAGCATTCATTGAGAATTGATGAGATGAGATCTCAGTGCCTTCAAGAAGCAGTAAATAAGAGCACAAAGCTAACTTGATTGTCGTGAAATAGGACATCGAACAGTTCATATAGTACGGTAGAGGGAGCACTCTCAGGGTCAGCTTCCAGCTCTAGAACTATGTTCTGACAGTGCCTGGTACGTCCTTGGAGTATGCTGCTAGTGCCTGAAGCACAGCTTGTTCAAAACTGAACAAATAATGTCAAAGTAGGGTTTGAGTCTTGGAAATTTTTAGGATAAATGGCAACATTTTGTCCATTGCTACAGGAGGCTACAGCATTATCGTATGTATAAAAGAGCTGTGAAAGAGTATGTTTCTTTTTACCCTTCCTTTCATCAGGCCTTAAGGACTGCTGATGTGTGCTTAATTGAATTATTAGTAAGGTATTAGTTTTTTAGCTGACATAGGTGACAATTAAGGAAATACTGTTTCCTTAAAAAGAAAGCTCTAGGTCAGCCCATGACATAGGAAATGTTTAAGCCTCTGGATCCAATTAAGCACCTGTGTTTAAAAAAAATTTTTATAAATAGGCAAAATTTTTGATTTGTAATAGAAAGTGCTGACACATACATTTATATTCCAAAGATGCTTCAGTAACAGATGGATTAATATTCCAAAGATGTTTCAGTAATAGCAGAGATGATAAGGAGTGCTGTGGAGTAGCCTGCATTCCACATGCCCTCCTGAGTGCTTCTGCACACTGTTTTATGAATGAGGATAGATATTGCTGTTCTCCTTTTATAGATGAAGGAACTGAGGCACAAAGGTTGACCCTCTATCAGTGGCAGCACTGGATTATAGTTAAGTAGTCTGATGCCTGAATTCGTACTCCTAATACTTAAACTATATTTCAGTCAGTAGCATCTTTAGTTGATTGATAGAATCTAGTTTATAAACTTGTACCTCATAATATGTAACATGATGTAATGAAATAGTAAAGTGAAAGCTAAATGTTCAATTATTATTAGTAATGAGATTTTTTAAAATAAAAAATATTAGGTTAAGTTGTGATTTTTCATATTATGATAATATTTGTTTCAGTTTTTCTATTCCTAACCTCCAGTTCAGCAAGGGAATATCAGTACCCAAGAGATAAATTAATCTTTCATCAAAATTATGTAGTTGTAAGGGCTGGAGCGATAACTCAGTGGCGTAGCACCTGCCTGGCAAGTGCAAGGTCCTGAGTTTGATTCTTGGTTCCAAAAAAAAAAAAAAAAAACCCTTTATCAGAATTATGTAGTTATTGTGTATTCCTTATTAGATGTCATATTTGTGTTAATTCATAATTTTGGGCATAAATATTACCATATCTTTAAATGTGTTTTTATGTTTTATCCCTAAATAACATTTTATATTAACTCCTAATACTTGAATTACATGAAAATATGTGTTTAAACATATTTTTTGTGAAATGCATTTGTTTGGGGTTTTTGTTTATTTGTGTTGCTTTTGGTATTGGGGAATTGAGAACTTGGTACCTTGTGCTTCCCAAGCAGGTGCTGTGCCGCTGAGCTATATCCCATGTCCCTTGTTTTTGATATTTTAAAATTTCTAGTTTATAGTAGTTATGAAGATTTTCACATTGTAATATAAACTTGGTCATAGTCTTTCCTGAAAGTGAAAACTTTTGTGTATTTAAAATAGGGTTTTGCTATGGAGTTCAGGCTGGCCTTAAACTCACTTTGTGTCCCAGTGGCTCAGGCTAGCCTTGAACTCTTAGTGATCATCCTGACTCAGCCTCCTGAGTATTGGGATTACAGATATGTGCCACCACACCTAGCAGGTGAAATCTTTTGTAAAACCAGATGGAGAACATGAGAGGAGTCAGGAAAATTGGTTCTACTTTTTTCTTTCAGAAATAGGAAGTATTTAAGCCTCTAGATCCAATTAAACACCTATGTTAAAAAGTATCATTTTATAAACAAGGCAAAATAAATTTTTGATTTTGTATTTGTTTTTTTTCTTTTTTTCAATTTTTTTTTCTTTTTCCTTTTTATCGGTACCAGGGATTGAACTCATGACCGCCTGCTTGCAAGGCAGGTGCTTATGCCGCTGAGCTAAATCCCCAGCCCCTGATTTTGTATTTGTTACTATCAATTCTCTCATGAAAAATAACTACATTTAATTTAGTATAATGGTACAGCTACTGGCAGAAGAACATCTTGCTCACTTTTAGAAATGAGTTCTTAAAATTCAGCGAACAAGTCATTGGAGTAGTTCTGTGATGGAAATCCCTACATGGATACTAACTAACATGGGAAAAATAGTTAAAAATCCTCAGATCCCTCTGTCTAAATTTGCAGTTGTGTTGCTGGACAGTGAGGATTCCTGTTCATAACTAATTTGTGGCAGAAGCAGGTCCTCGTGGTGCAGTTTGTAAATAGTCTTCATAATATTCTTTATGTGACTGTTGATGTAACCCTTCGTGTGGATGTTATAAAATCAGTTGTGTCCCTGGGCTTGCAAGGGTGGTATGGACATATGGCTTAGAGATAGTCAGATTTCTACCATTTGAATGCTTCTGAATTCAACAGTACCC